CAGACCTGAGTTCTAAAATGCAAAAAAGATGACTTTAACACAGTATGGTGATATTCAAACTATAAGCTGAGGAAATAAGAACAGAGCCTGTATTTTACAGATCCTGTGTCTGTTTTTCATTCTCCACATCATCCATCCATTCATCTGTCCATCCATCTGTCAATCCACTGATCCATCCATTGATCCATCCCTCTACCCACCCACCCAATCATTCTTATATGCATGGATGTAGTTTTCTTACATGAATTTCCTTACCCATGGATATACTTAGGCCACATCCAAAACAAAGACAATTAAGACTTTCTTTCTTAAGAAGAGGGAAATATCAGGCTAAATGAAATCAGAGCCGAGAGCAGAAAAAAAGTCGCTTTATGGTGCCTTGCCAGGCATGGCCACTCACACTTTAATCCCAGTACTCAGAGGAAGAGGCAGGTGGATCTCTGAGTTCGAGGCGAGCATGGTCTACAAAGCGAGTTCCAGGACAGCCAGGGCTATATAGCAAGATCCTGCCTCAATGTAAAATAAAAAGCAGGCACAATTTACACCAGGGAGCTCTTTAGCTAGAGCCTGGACTTTGCTGAGTGTACCTGCAGGGTTTAGATGCATCATAGCAGCAAGGACGGCATTACAGGTGTGTGGCCAACGGCCATCACGTGGGTGTTGTCTAGATTGGCCAAACTGAAACGCAGCTAGGAGGTATCCTCGACTCTTCAGTTCTGGGGCTCGGCAAGCTCTCTACAGACTGGCAAAATTAAGATATAAAGATCCGTGCTTCGGGAAATTATCCACACTGGATATTTGGGGGGGCCGGCAAACTCATGGCAGCTCCGATCTACTTCTCTGTGCAGCACTGGGACAACGGAAGAAGAGAATCCAAGCTGAAGTGTGCGACAGGCCGTGTCCTCTGTGGTTGCATACACTAGCATGCAGAAAGTCCTCTGCTGCACAGGGCTTGTGTTGAAGAGCATCTTTTATATGCTCTTCTCAGCCATAGGTCATGGAACGTTTGTGCTGGAGAAAGTTCTGAGCCAAGGTTGCCAAGGTTAGCTCACTGGCAACTCAGGGTTTTTAATATAGCATCTCAATTAAGGAGACGCGCTAAGCTCTCAGGAGCATACCAGCAATGAGTGTGCTTCATGGGCTTAGGATTCCTAAGAATGAAGCTGGGACGCACACTTGTCCTGGAATGTGATAAAAATACAACCTAGAAAGACACAAAACTAAGAAAACGGAGGCACTGAGCCATTTCTGCAAGTCTGCGCCAAGAGGCCTGAGTGCAAATCTTGTTTTATTTTTACCCTGGAGCTGTAACCCTGATTCCACCAATCACCCAGTCTTCCTGGTCAGGTAACCTCAGCCTTCTCTATAGCACGCCCCTTTCCTGTTTTTCTATGGCCAGTGTTTGTCATAGCTTTTCAATTCTGGCTCAGACATAGCTCCAAACTCCAGCCACGCTTTACCCTATAACCAATACTTGGTCAAAAGCCTTGTCACCTGTACTACTTAATAGCCACCGAAAAGGACTTTTCTAAGTATTACCGACTTTAATGAATCCCTGTGAGGTGCTCACTGCCTGTCAAGAACTGCTTAAAGAACAACCGAGCCTCACCTTAACGTTGTAAGATAAGCATTTTAAAGGAAAATTACCGTTTCACAGATAAGAAATGTGGAGAGCAGAGAGGTTTGCTACTTGGTTCTAGGCCACACATTTGGCGAGGAAAGGACTGGGATTCGGATTCCAGTGGCCTGCCAAGATTGCTTGTTGAATGACTAAGGAATACCCATCTTCATCACTGTCATCATCATCATCACGAATTGGAGGATGAGTTTGAACTTCTGATTCTTTTGCTTCCACCTCCCAAAGGCTGGGATTACGGGTATCCCCTTTTTGAGGTGTTGGCGGTGGAAGCCAGGGCTCTGTACATGCTAGGCAAGCACTCTACTTACTGGGCTACATCTAACCCATTATTACTTTTGTTGCTGTTACTCTATTTTTTTTTTTGACCAGGCAACACAATTAGTCGGTTCAAGATGCAAAACGCACAGAAAGGAACATATTGGGAAGTCTCTGGAGGTAACCAACATGGCCCAACAAAGGCTTCCCTGTGGCAGCCTTCCTTTTCCCTTCAGCGCATCAGACAGTGTTCCATCCTATCTCACAATCTAGGATACGCTTTGGCACAGCGCCTTTTCACTTCACAACACACACCGAGGATCGTTCCAAGCCTGTATAGGAGAGCTTTCTCTTTAAAGACTACAGATGGTCTATATTGGGCACGAGTGGCACCCCTCCCCCGCGCTCCACAAAGGGCTAGACAGTAAATATTTCAGGCTTTGGGGTCCATATGGTCCCTGTTCCATATGCTCCTGCTTCCCTTTTCACAAAAACATTTTGAAAAATGTATAAACCATCCTAGCCTTTTGGGTCAGATAGACACAGCCAATAGGCCACACGGGGCCTATGGGCCCCCAGCATGCTAATCCCCAAGCTTCTGGGTTCTTGACTCACTCTTCCGTGTCTGCTCTTTTTCTATTCCTTCCTCCCCCTTATTTTTGTGGTACCTGGCATGGAACCCACGGCCTGTGCCTGCTGTGCAACTGTTCTACTACCGACCTACATCTACAACAAGCCACCTGGTCACTCCTTGAACAAGATAAGCTCTCTTCCTAAAAAACATCCAAAAGTTGCCATTGCTCCCTAAATCCTTCTAGGCTCCTTGCTCTCAAGATGTGGACAGCATGTTTCTCGACACACACTTATCTCTCTGTCTTGGTCTATTCCAGTACCCTTAGCTCCATTACTGGCCCCCTTCCCCCCCTAGGACCTCTCTGCCTCTCTACTGCCCTAAGTGCAGTCTGATGCAGCCTTGGGGACGTTCTGGTAGTGCCAGTCACCTCTGATGTCCACTGGCTTGTTGCCGCCCAAGAAGAACCCACATTCCACCATCTAAAGGCCAGCCTCCCTGTTCTGCTGTCTCCTTCTCTTGGCTTCTTCTGTGTCCAACCATGCCAAACTCATTTTTGCCTCCTGCTGCTGTGCCTTTGGCTGCTCCTGCCACAGGTTCACACTCAATCTGAAGGGGCACTCTTCAGCGAGGCTGTCCAGAGGGCTCTGCATTCTCCTGTGCCATTATCCTCCTTTGCTCTCTGTGTCCCTGTGGCCAACAGCCTCAGCTCTGCTGGTACATGTGGACAGCTCAGCGCCCAGTACATTGTCTGGCCCCCATGAACACTGAGAGCTTTCTGAGGTGATGGATGGGTGAAGAACCTCAAGCCATTTTACACTTCCTGGGTACTTTTCCTTAGCTATTTTTTTTAGTCTCCAGATCTACCATCTTGCTCAGCAATCACTAAACATAAGTTTTTGGAAATCTGCACAGGTTGCCATTTCATTTCTTTCTTTTTTTTTTTTTTTCTGAGCGACAAATTCCTACCATCCATTATGCCCGGCTCAAATGTTATGTGTTCTACAGAGTTTTCATATCTTCCCCAGCGAGGATCCATTTATTTATTTTTTTGGCATGCTCCCAGAGCACTGTGCACAGAAACCTCCATGATCACTCTGGGCCATGATCAGCTACCAAATGTTTGTTGGCTGACTTATTTATATCCCTAATAGTCCTCCAAATCTATGCCTATACAGGACCTTTTCACTCTCCTACAAGGAATCCTTCAAGGAAGGGGTGAATGACGTCTAAGCAGCAAGTTTGGGCAGATGAGGTAAGTAGCAGAGCAAGCAGCTCTATGCCAAAGGCACATTTAGCTTTCACCATAGCATCACTGAGGCGGTCTTTTCAGGATTTGTGCTTTAAAGTGGAGGAGGTGGGAGTGAGTGCCCGCTCAGGCTGGCAACTCGCCCGTGGCTTTGGGATGCACCAGCAGGTCACCCTGTAACCAGCTGTAGTGATGGCTTTTTGACAGCCCTGCTGCTCTCCAGTCGAGCAGCACAGCACACAAATCCGCCCATCTCCCTGGGGCGGAGAGACTTCAGAGAGACTTTCGCTCCCCGGCAGCAAGGTCCTCTTTTGAAGGGACACAGATGTCCCCTGGCCAGCCAGATGGAGTGACATGGTGATGAGGTATCCCTCTGCACACCTGTGACTGTGCCAGCCCCAAGGGCAGCCAGCTGTCCTTGGGGGCCTGCCTCCTGCCACCACATGCTGCTTATCCATGTGGACATAAGCTGCTCTGCCAGATCACTGCTGAGATGATGGGGTGGCAGCCCAGGGCTCTGGGTGAGAAGGTGGAAGTCAGAGGACACAAGGGCAGAGAGAGCTGAGCTCTCCTCAGATAAATGGAGAGACTCTCCTAATTTACTCTCAGAGATGACGGGCAACAAGGAAGAAGTAACACGCTTTTCCCAGGGGGCAGAATGCCCCCGTTGCAGAGAGTGTCCTCATATAAAGGAAGGAGGTGTGTTCTCTTCGTGCGTCCTGTGTAACAGCTCATTGAGAAAATTCTGGGACAAGGCTGGCTTGCCTGAGAGGCAGTCTCAGCTCACTCCTTGCAGCGAGGTAACCCAGTTAACCATTTCATCTCATCCAGCCTGGCTTCCTCAACTGCACAGCGGAGGTGCCGATGCCTGAGCCTTATGGTGTTTGACAAATGCTAGGTGTTATTACTTGTAGGAAGAACAGTTCATTGGTTGTGGTTCAACTGTAGGCGGGACCGAAGAGTATTGATTTCAACCACAGAGATAAAAGATCTCATGAAGGGGTGACGACTGTGCGTTTTCTGTTACTTCGCACTGAATTTAGAAACATAGCCACCAAGCGTTATCATATATTAGCACGTATGTGCCTTTTTTTGCCCCATACTTGTATATACCTGCCCTCCCTTTCACCCTTGCGTAGAGAATCTGTGAGTTCACTCGATGTACACAGAGGTTGCCCCTCTGAGTCCTGGGAAAGACACATACACGAATCAGCCCTCCCTTGGTGTCCACCCGACTGGGAGCCGGGCCACCAAGCAACGTGTACTGTCATGCTCAGCCATCCTACCGGGGCATCTGCGGCTTCGATGCTGTGGGAGAGGTTTCCATTCTGCACAGGTTCCGAGGCTTCACTCGATGGTGTCATTTCGACCTCTGTGCTCGTGCTGTTGGGGAGCTCAATTTTTTCTACGGCACAATGTGAACACAGAGAAAACAATCAGAATCAATGGGTATAAAGGGCCATGTTATAATGAACTTCTAAAAAGGTGATCAGAAGGTGAGGAGAAGGCATCTGAGACCCAAAGCTGGTGTTAAGCACTGGCAAAGGGTTTTCACCATTCACCCAGTACTGCCTACTGTGCTGTCCCTTCCCTTTCCATAGCTCTGGCTTCTACTAGAGGTCCTATGTGACAGACCATTCGAGGACACAGATATATATTTTTAGACATTTAGATACAGACTGTGAGCTATGTGGCTCACCCCTGTAATTGTACCCCCATGCAAGGGACACTGGCTAGGGTAACATGTTCTAGGCTATACTCTGCCATGACTGTGTTGCCATCTTTGAAAGGCCCCTTTTCCTCTAGGTTGGGACACCTCCTTTATGAACCTTTATGAAGGTTCATTGTGGCTAACGGCCAGCCAGGGTCCACTGCTTTCAGCTCTAATAGTCTCAGTCTTAAACTGCCAGTGCTGGGAGAGGAGGAGGGAGGCAGAGGAAAGAAGGACTTGGCCACCTGTCTCTTCTTACAATCCTGAGAACACTCATAGCACATTCTGCACTGAGTGTCCTGTTCCAAGAAAAGCAAGAAGGAGCTGAGACAAGGAACACGGCCCAAGTCTGTGACACTCCTGAGAGCGTGAGCTAAAGAGAAACTACAAATGCAAATGCACTCATGTTTTTCTAAGACAGGAGAAGAGGCTCGAAGATCCTCATCAGGCCTTGGGACTCTGTAATGCTGGGAACCAGATGGACTTGTGTTTTTATTCTCACTCTACAGCTTATGCTGTATGTCCTTCAGCGAGTGCCTCAACCTCTGTTGCACTCAGTTTCTTCACCTGGAGAAGCTAGGTGGTGCTAACAGCGCCACTACTGCCATTAATGCTACTGCTGCTACCACTGTCCCACCTGCAGAGAGGCCGGGAAGTACATGTAAAACACCCAGAAAAGAGCCCAGGCAAGCCAGAAATGAAGGGTATGAACCTCTTTCACTGTAATTGCTTTTTTTTTTTTTTAAATAAAGTAAATTTTTATTTTATGTGTATCAGTGTGAAGGTGTCAAATCTCTTGGAATTGGAGTTACAGAGAGTTGTGAGCTGCCATGTGGGTGCTGGGAGTTGAACCTGGGTCGTTTGGAAGAACAGACAGTGCTCTCAATCACTGAGCCATCTCTCCAGCCCCGCAACCTCTTTTTGAAAGCTATTTTTCCAGGGCTAAGAGAAGCACCTCTAGGTGACCAGTGCTCAGGGTCCATTAGGTTCAACTGGAACTTAAGTTGGAGTGAAACAGAAAGCCTCCCATTGACACTGAAAAGATTGCTCAGCAGTTAAGAACATTCACTGCTCTTTCAGAGAACTGGGTCCAGTTCCCAGCATCCATATTGGGCAGATCCCAACTGTCCTTAACCACAGATCAAGGTGTTTCAATGCTCTGTTCTGGGCAACATGGGCACAGGTGGATACATAAAAATAAACATAAATCTTTACAATAAAGCAAGAAAAAGAAAGGCTCCTGTTGGCATCAACTCTGTTCAGGGTCAGTAGGGAATGCTTGTGTGGTGTTGAGTCAGGCGTTAGGGTTGGTGGCTGGACAGCAATCGGCTGAGCGGTGCTAGATGTGAGCAATCACAGGATGCTCATGGAAAAACAGAAGTCCCCCCCCCCAGCAATTTCAGAAAGACCAAATATTTCTGTCATTAGTGCATAATAAGATAGAGCCTAAGATATCAGCACTTGGTAGGTAGATGCAGGAGGATTGTCATAAGTTCAAGGCCAGGCTGGGTTATATAGCGAGGACCCTATTATGGCCCCCAACAAAAAGAACTCCACAGAAATGTTTGGTTTGAAGCACTCAAATACTGCATATCCTAGGGAAGTGCTCATGGATTCAGTTGTGGTATCCTGAGGCACAAGTGCAGATAGGGAAAGTGTAGGAATATGGGCTTCCCTGATCCAACCAACCATCATTAATAGTGTCAGTGGTGTGGGATGCTCTGCTGTCAGTAGCCATGCCAGAGTATGTCCGTTTCATTCAGTTATTTGAACTATAACATACTAAGCACATGGGGGACAAAAAGCCCTTCAGATCTTAGGAACAGATCTCTGAGGCCAAACTTGATTCCAGAATCACAGGGTACAGGGATCCAAAAGGGTTTTTAGATGCTCCAGGGTAGACACAGACAAATAAAACCTACCTCCCAGGCATGGCCTCTAAACTGAGTGTGCTTTTGAACCACAGTCTTTATTGTCACACAAAAGATGAAAATAATCCCGAGGTTAGTTTGGAAAGCATAGATTTTCGATACACACTCCTTTTGTTACCCCATCAGCAGGACGTTCCTTGGATTTATATATTGTGGATGATTAAATGTAAGCCTACAGTCATCAGTCTGCAAAAGGAGGTCTGGGAATGAACCTAGCCACACAAACCTGCTGTTCCATGCTACTTCATCCCACAAAAGAAAAATCAACAAGCAGAGTAGGAAAAGTAGCCCTTGTAACTGAACCAAAAAAAATCACATGCAGAGTTTAACCAGGCAATAACTTTTCTTGTTGACTTTACATTACAAAACCAAAACTCTGCTCATTATGAAAAATGTGCCCAGGTTCAGGGAAAGAGAGAGGATCAGACAAAAACCTGATAACCCATAACCTAGTCCTAGTTAACATTTGAACTGATTCCTGTCCACTTTCTCCATAAATACTCAGTTGACTCTTGACGGTTCTTTGGCTGAAATGTTGCCTGGGCTAGAATTCAGGCTGGTAGGAGAGGCAGGAGCTTGTCTATGGAGTATTTTGAGGGCAAAACTGTTGAGATTTGTCTGTAGATAATTTTAGTCACTTGGGCAATAGCTTCGTTTACAGCATGGATCCAGATTAGGTTAAATTTAGTCTGAATTTAGAATCGGGAGCTATATTATAGTTACAGACAGGAGAAAGGGAACATGATGCCCCAAGTTAAAATAAGACGCCTGAATGTCACAATCTGGTCACACAGGAGTTCTAGAAAAGTCAGCCAAGATAGACCTAGGCTGATTTTGCCTAACTTTATTTTTTTGGGCCTGTGGATATGTGTGTGGTGTGAATACGTGTGTACGTGTGTTCACATGTCTGTGTGTCGTACATGTGTATGAAAGCCAAAGGCTGATATTCACTTTATTTATTGAGGCAAGGTCTCGTGAGGGAACCCAGAGTTTGCTAGCCTAGCTGGCTATCTTGCCTTAGGGAATATTCTTACCCTGGCTCCTGCGTGCTGAGGTTATGGTGGGGTCACCATGTAGGTGCTGGGATCTGGACTTAGGTCCCCAGACTTACGCAGCAAGCACTGTATCTGCTGATACATCTCCCCAGTCCTGATGCTGCTGGAATTCTTAGGAAAGAGGAGATGATATGGATTTAAAAGGACTCTGTTGGGGTGAGTGAGTGGTTATTTGGGTGTGGGGGTGGTGCTGTGTCACAGCCATACAGTCTGATCGCCAGTCAAATGGATAGAGCCAGGAATCTCACCTCTGGCTAAACGTTAATGACTCGGGTATGTCTCTCTCTCTCTCTTTTGTGGCTTTCTGAAGCCTGTCTCCCGTCAGAATACCTGATGATCTGGTTACAATTACTATGCCCTGGGGACGCCCCTTATGTTATTGGAGACATACATGTGCTTTCCTGCCCTGTCCCAGGGAGAGAAGGGCTCATTTCATTTTTCAGAAAGGGCTTGAACTGGCAGGGGGGTCAGGGTTTCCCCACACAGGTCTGTCTGTTTCCCCCTCTCCTGCAGTCCCTCCAGGGAAGGACAAAGGATAAGCATCTCTCACTCACCCACGTGATTGGCAGCCCCATTCTGCCTCTCATTCTCATCCACTTGGCATTTCTTCTTGGCGATCTTGTGGAGGATTGAAGCTTTTTCTCTGAACCTCCCTGAAGCAACAGAAAGTGGCAGGAAAGGCAGAGAGTGAGGAGGAAGGATTGCCAAAGTAGGTGTGCGGCCTCTCTGCTGACGCTGCACTACAGCGGCAACCACACATTCCGGCCAACCCAAATGCCCTTCAACCTACACGGAGGGAACTTTCTTACCTTGGTGGATGCTCCAGTCCGGTTCTCTCTCTGAGAGCTGCAAGTTGCTGGGCCACGAGGAGAGGTGTGACATGGACCTCTTCCTTCCCTCCCAGGTACTCACAAAATGAACGAGAACACCAAGCACCCCCCACACCACCCCTACCTTCGAGACCCCAAATGAAGACCCACAGCTGCTTTGGGAATTAAATGCTCATCCCAGATCTGTTTTGGACAATGGCTGGGGAGGAAAGCCAGGCCCAGCAGTCCTTCGGCTTGACTTTGGTTTTCAAGCATTTGTCATGATTGCAGCTTCCAAAGGAGCCAGGGACAGACATCACAGCTCTCCAGATAAGCTGAGTCAGCTGCAATTAAAGCATCAAGGCGGCGACTGATTCCATTTGGGGATTTAGGGCAAAGAATGATCAACCGAGCATGTTGGTGATGAGACACTTTGGGAAAGGTGCTGGAAAAAAAATACCATGCTCAAAGCAATCACTGTAAACAGCTGTGCCACAAGTGTAGCGCCTCATGTCTCCCTCATTATTGACACAATTAATGGGTAAATGCATGCGACAAGCACACAAAATTGGCATGCAAAGTGAAGCGATTAGGGACACGAAGCACATGTTTCTTTTTAAATCTTTGATTTTCTTCCTTGGGAATATTCAAGGTACAAAAGATGCTCATTTTAAACCGATTTCTGCCTAGATTCCAGCACAATGTGTTCCTTAACAATACCCTCAGCCCCACAATTTCCTACTGGGCTTTTTTGTTGGCTGTGTTACCTAGCAGCATATTACCGGGGGGTCTTATTCTACCTTTCAAGTTAGAAGAAAATGAGATGAAAAGATTTCCCTTGGAGACTACCTCCTCCAAGGCTGGGCATGGTGGGTGAGCACCCACAGCTCTCCTTTCCCCATGTATGGGAATCATGGCAGCCCACAATGATGACTTCTACCATGGGCTCAGAGCAACAGAATATGTGAATGCCTACGTGAAGGTGATGCAGGATGGCGTCATTTCTGCTCACAGCATCATTAGCCACTACCCTAAACATTTCCTTCCTTCCTTCCTTCCTTCCTTCCTTCCTTCCTTCCTTCCTTCCTTCCTTCCTTCCTTCCTTCCCTCCTTCTTTCTCTCTCTCTTTCTTTCTTTTAGTGTTTTGAGAACATTATAAGCTCCCGAATTTAAATTTACCTTCTGTTTTAATCCATTGTATTTAAAAAAAATTCCCTAGTTGGGAGGCCATATGTATGCTGTGACACACATGTGGAGATAAGAGGATACCTCATGGGAATGAGTTTTCTCTTTCTACCATGTCCTGGGGATTGAAGTCAGGTTGACAGGTTTGGTGGTCAGCCCTTTATCCACGAAGCCATCTTGCCAACCCCTACCTAAATTTCTTACCATTCAAAGGTGTCACTCTAGGCAATGAGTTTCCTGCACAACTGTGCTCCCAAAGGCATCAGGGGGCAACGAGAAACAGAAGGTATGGTCAGAATGTGGCTTGTACTGTGTGATAGCTAATTTTGATGGTCAGCTTGGTTGGCTAAGTGATATCCCCCGCTTCTGGTGTCTGAGTGCATTTTAGAATTCTTGCCTTCTCAGTGCTCTGCTTCACTGATGGATTAGACACGTAAGGAGGCCAACAGAGGTGGTGGGAACTGTGGCCGACAAGGTGTCATTGGAAGAGTACATGACTCTGGAGGGATATCTAGGTCCTAGCCCTTTCCTGTCACTTCTCTTTGCTTCCTGGCACTACAAAGTGAGCAGCCTTTGCCACAGGTTTCACTGTCACGATGTTCTGTCTTCCCTGGGATCCAGGCAAAGGATCCAGGTGATGGAGAACCCAAGCTCTAAAACCAGGAGCCAAAATAAATCTTAGCTCATTTTAAGTTGTTTTTCCACAGAACTTCGTCACTGTGATGGAGAACGGACTAACTCAGATGTTGTAAGGGATGAAAAGGAAGGATGAGGGGATGGGTAGGTGCTCATCCTGGAAGGCGATTTGAACTTCTCTGTTTTTATTTAATCTCCATGGTAAACTGGGGGAAGAACAGGGGGGAAGAAAAGACATTCTGGGGACTGGGAAAAGGAGGAGGTGAAAGGAAGCATGGAAAGGGAGAGAAAATTAGAAACATAAAGGAGGTAGGTAGGGGTGCAACTGCCTGGAGGTAGTCCACCAGGTGCCAGGCACTTCCTGGCTGCCCAGTGTTCTTCTTTGAGCACTAGACAGGGAAGAGGGTGTCCGTTAGGGCCTTGCAACCTTACGCCAAAAGGGGTTACTTTTCACGGAAGACAATTCAAAGGAGTCCCCAAATCATGTGTTTTGCACCCAGGAGAGGCAGAAGGGGCTTCTGCAACTTCACTGGCGTTTCTGCTAACAAAAATCTTCCTGTTATGGTAGGGATCCACCTTTGAGCTGATATCACTTTGTATGTCCATGAAATAAAGAGATCAACTACATTGCTTCGAAACTGTGTATAACACAGTGACAAAGTAGAAAAGGCTGCAGAAGAAGCAAGCCAGTGTGGACCAACCCAGCCCAGTTACTGCCCTCAAGTCACAAATCACAGCAGAGAAGATGCACAGGAAAGCAGCTCTCATGGATTGTTCATGCTTGCAAGATTCCTTCCATGGCTTATATACGCGCCAGGGAGGAATGATTTAAAAATGGACTCCCAACATGTCTGGCGGAAGCCACTCAGGTTGCCACAAAGCATCTGTCAACAGAGAGTTGGAAATACCTGGTGTAGTTTTCCCAAATTCTGCAGGAACTATGGCAGATACAAAGGGGAGTGATGGTGTTGGGGTGGAGTGGGGTGTTATGGCTCTTAATCATGTGAGCATCAGTGAGGGTTTTATTTGCGTGTCACTGTTTTCTTTCCTGCAGCAAGTCTTCTAGTTTTCTGTGCTATTAAAAGATGGTCCTTTTCTCTTGGGGCATGGGCCGAGCAAATCACTCAAGGTTGGGCAAGGAATTCTTCAATTCCTTTCCTTCGCATCCTTCCCCTGTCTTAAGTCCTACTGTTCTGACCTGGGCACTATCTCATTCTGAGGGCTGACGATGGCAGGCACCCTTTTCTGAGAGGATTTTGCCTTGAAGTTTAGGTTTTATCGAGGCCCACCTTCAGTGCTCAGTACACACACTCTTGAGGGTGGAAGGCAGAGCCCGACAAAGGAAGGCATGCTCAGTTCAGCTTGTTGGATTGGCGCTCGAGTTTCAGGGAATCCTCTAAAAATCACCTCTACGTGTAAGGCCCACGTTTAGGTGGGGGCACGGAGAATGGGCGTAAGAAACAACCATGCTGCTTTGTGTCTGGCAAGAAAGAATCAAGACACCTTTGATTGCTTTTCAAGGTGAGCCACAGAGTGATTTTTCAGTCCGATTCAAAGCAGCTTTAAAAATATCCCTGCTGTGGTGCAAACCCTGAAGGTGTTTGTCTTTTTATACAGCTACAGATATTTGTATACTTAGAAGCCCCGGAAATAGAAAACTCGGCTGGGATCGTGAGGCACCTACGTCAAACCTGGCACACAGTTTTAGTAGAGTTTAGTTTGATCTGAAATGTGCAAGCGTACCAGCTGAGTGTCCTCACAGGAGGGTGCATTGAGGGGGTGGTCAGAAAGCTCGGAAGGAAAAGATGGGAGCTGAGAGCTTCCTGGGAATGAGGAATGAACTGGGGAAAAACAGCCACGCAAACCCCAGGCTGGATCACTCCGAGGCAAACCTCAAGCTCTACTGTGAGATAACCTCAAGGTTATCAGGTTTACCGGGGAGGTAAACCTGGCTTCTGTCCTGCCATTAAATGATTGAAACAGCGCCCCCTTGAAATCCCTTCACATTTTCCCCAGAAAGCCTGTCAGAGGCAAGAGCCAAAAGGAACCCTTTGGGCTTGTGACCAGATTAGGTCCAGCCTGTCACAGCCTGAGCACCAGGATTGCAGGAAAAAAAAAATGGAGCAAAAGAGACAGCTGTGAAGGGAGCCAGCCACTTGGAGAGAGAGAGAGAGGAAAAAAAAAGAGGGGGGTTTGAAACTTGAAAATAAGTCTTTTCAAGTCTATTTCTGTGTTTTCAATTCTGTCTTTTCTGTCTCTTTCTTTGAAGTCCAGGGCTTGGCAGGCGGCTTCGAAAGCCAAAGGTCACCTGAGCTCCTGTCCCCACACCACCTGTCTATTGCTTCTTTGTCTTTCCTTATGAAAGCTCAGACGGATCAAGCAGACAGGCCCTCCTCATTCTGACAAGGCTTTGCAGGAACCGAGGGGTGCCCTGGGTCACCCTAAGCACCTCCTTCTCCTATGCCATCCATCAGCAAGTCAGCCGTTTCTATTTTCACATTACGTCAGCCCACTTCTCCCTCCAGCCTTCACTTCCTGATTCCCACCAACTGCTCTCCACAAGAGCAGTTCAGCCAGCTGGTGTGTCCTGTCCCTTCTCCCCTTACCTCTCTGTCACCCTAGCACCGCCAGGGATGGATAAATTAGGTCATGTTAATCCTTTCTAGGGTGAACAGTCTGCAGAGTATCTCCAGATCAAACTGAAGATCCAGGTCCTTACAGCTGCCTGCAGGGTCCCATCACCCTGACCCTGTGCTCAACCCCCCTGCTCCACCCAGGGTTACTCCCCACCTCTGTTTTCTAAGAACACTGTGCAACCTTCCACTCTGGACCATGACACTGGCTGGCCTGCTCTGTGCAAAGCTCTCCCCTCAGAAACCAGGGGCTCACTGTCACATCTCCTAGCATCTTCTCAGATGTCACCGTTTCATACCCTGGCTTCCCTGAGCACCTCCTCTCTACCATTTCCTACCCCCCAACTTCTGTCCTCTAAAGTGGCTATTTCCATTATTGTTATTACCGCT